GCCCAATCAGCTGACGGGCTCCCACCAATCAACGGCAAGGCACAAGGCCAATCAGCTGACTGACTCCGCCAATCAGAAAACCGAAATGAGAACCAATAAACGGCAGGTGACGTTCCGCGACGTCGTTGAGCAGTTCATCGCATTTTTTGGTGCGTCTCTTTAACCTATATATCCGCGGTATAACAAGTGTGAAGTTGACTTTCTACCTGCACATTTAAGTTTTTTTTACTCATTTAACGTCCTTACTACGAAATTTGGGCTTCTTTAATTACTGGTCAATCGCAATCGGCGCACGTCATCTTCATCGATGATAGCTAAGCATGCTTAGCCTTCGCACATGCTACATTTTCGCGTACGTTCCTTGGTTGTCCATCATAAGGGCATTTCATCCACCGCACACTGTTTCAGGAATGTCATTGTGGGTCTGCTGATGTCAGAAGTTTATGTTTTTCCCCTGTATCAGGTCTCTCCTTTCGGTCTATAGTCGGGATTTATGACGTTTTCCAGATGTAAACTTCAGTTTTTGACCTGGTTTATAAGGTCGATTACGCGTCTTCGAGACCTGTTGTCCCGGCCTCATACAAATTTGTATGAATCTGTGACAACAGTCGTAGTATTGGTTTAAACCAATCTTCCTAGTCGTGGCTTCACCCATAACCATTTCCAATTACTTGCAAATCCTTCACCCTCCTTTCGTCTGCTATGTTAATACCATTTCGGTAATGAAGGATCCTGTATGCGTTTATGGTAATGCAGTATCGGTGTCCTCCGAGCTGCCTTAGTTGTGGGACGGTGTTTAGAGACCTGATCCGAAAATCGAATAGACAACTGTGTTCCAAGCGTTTCTTAGAAGAAAAAAAAGGTTGCGATTTCCTTTTCCTATTTATCTGCCATAGTAAGACCGCCCTATACTAATCATGCGCAATAAAAGCCCGAGATTCGTGATTAACTGCACATCGTCTGCATCAACAATGAGTGACCGATCTCATGAAATTTTGACCGATATTCTAAAATAAGTGTCCGATTAGGAAGGACTTTATTGCGTGAAGTTACAATATTAATT